TTCGTCAAATTCGGAATATAAGGTTTCGAATTTATTAAAACGCTCGGCTAAGTCTAGACGTTGCAACTCAGAAATATCAGAACTACTTTTAATTAAATTTAAATAATTGTTGTAAATTGTAAGCTTTGATTTTATCGAACTACGCTTCTTCAATAAAGTTTTTAAACTATCTGCCATTTTATTTTTATATGAACACAGCAAAAGAAAAGAAAACGTTGATTACTTTAGGACAAAAAAGACTACAGCTATGCGAGAACAAAAGGGACTGTTGCACGCAAGTAAAAATATGAATCAGCGCAAGGTCAACAAATCGACACTTGAGCGCTTGATATTTGTAACGGAATAAACATTTAAATTTAAACAAGCGAGCGTTGCAATGACAAAGCAATTTTTAAAGCACTGAAGTTAATTAATTACCTACTTATTAAAAGTATTTTTTTACCCTTGATAGTACGAAATGTGTTTCGCCTCTATACGAGGCATCCTCAGATGAAGTAGGCTCTGCGGAGGCTGATACTATCTTTGTCACCAATAATTCCATCACCACCACTCTTAGCACTCTCTCCGCGTGTCCAAACGCTGCTATCTATACAACTCGTTTATCAGCGAGTTGTAAAAATAGCAACTGTTTCCGCTCGCCGTTCACTTAGCCTTCAGCCACCGCGGAGACTACTTCACCTGAGGATGCCTCGTGTTGAGGCAAAACACGCATCGTATTATTGAGGGAAGTGTGTTGTCCTTAGTCTGGTGGTGTTGAGTGTGGTGGTATTGGGAGTGGTGGCTACGGGTATATTGCATGCAATTGAGGGGGGTTAGGAGGTGCTCTTCAGACTGGTTAGGACACATCATTTTATTTTATTAAGCGAATATGAGCAAATTCAGGTCTAATAACTTCAACTACATGGATAAAAAATGCCCGATAACATTGAGTCAAAATCTGGTTTGACCTTTAATTTTCCTGCCATGTTCGTACCATTATTGTACCCTTGATCTCGATAATCATTCACGTCTAAGTCAAATACTTGTACAATTGCATCAAGACAGAGGCCAGTAAGTCCTTTTTCCGAAAAGTCACTTACTGGCTTATAAGCAATGAAATACTCGCATTTTGACTTCCTAATTAGCGTCAACAGAACGGAATGTTAGTGATAAGGGTGAGTAAATTTGTGACCGGTGCCTGGTTAGCGTTTCAGTTGATTTCAGCGCCCACCCCGATGACGGCACCCGCTGCGGTGGTACCGCTCGCACCGCCTTAGGGCCGCCACTGTCCAGCACCCATGGTGACGGGGGACTGAGGTGACTGACGTCCCGATGTCAGTGCTAACCCAGAGTATCAGCTTTTTAATACCATAAGCAATAATTAAAAAGCTAAAGATACTCCGGGTTAACACTGACATCTGGACCACCACCTCAGTCCCCTGTGGAAGGTATTTCTATTTAAAAAATTAAACTTTGAATATTTTTTTAAATGCCAGGTTTCTTGGTAGTTTTTCCCAGGTCAGAGGTTTTTTTACGAACCAGTAGTGGAAGGAAAAAACGACTTTCGTATGAATTATTTATAATCTATATCAAATAAAATATATTTTATACCATTTTAACATTATCATATAAAGAAATTGTATACATATTCTTAAGTTATAATAAAAATACTGATTAATAAAATTTATGAATGTATTAAGGTAATGTTTTTATATTTAATTTTACCACATATTATATTGCAAATTAAAATTAAAAATAACTCACAGAGTTTCTTGTTTGTATTTTTCTGAACAGCACCCATCTCACTCAGTTATACTGCAAAAGATTTGTTTTAAAAGAAATCAGAGAGTATTAACTTGCTCAAAGCAGACTTTACGAGAGTTGGCAACATTATTTTATTTAAATTCTCAGACATGCAAGTCTTCTCACGATGTTTGCTTTCTCCGCACAACGCGTAGTGGATATTTACAGTGAGCATTTAACTACTACAACTCAAGCGAATTAAGTGCGAATATTTCTACTAATATAGTAAACATTTTATATGTCATTATTAAAAATTACCATTATACAGACCCATATTCACTATATTTCTGTAAATACCACGGATTTTAGGAAAAACCGTTATCTTTGTGTATCGACTGTAGCAGTTGTCGAAGTGGGTCCATGTTGGGCGTCTTACTTTATAAGACAGCATCCTTCAAATCGACCAATAAATCGTTTTCACTATACAATAATACAACAGGTATATTGGTAAAATTGAGGTTATAAAGATGCGGTTGAGCGGTCCCATATAGTTCCAAATTTTTGCTAGGACCATAATCGTATTTCTGAAATCTGCCTGCTATAGCATTTTGACTAAAGCCAGCTAAATTTCGAGCTGATGTCCCAGCAGGAAAATGTCCAAACAACACTCTTATCGTTTGAGTTAAAATTGAACCCGGATCATAAGAATCGATTAAAGCCAACGCTGCTCTACACACAGTTCCCGCCAAAATATTATCTTTACAAAAGAAAGAAGACACTTTTTGAATCGATCTCTCTTTTGTAAAACTTCAAACTCACGAGGACCGCTTAAATATGGTTCTGTGACCGCATAAAACCGAGTCAACAACTGTGCAGGTACAGATCTCGTGTATTTTACTCTTGCCGCTGTTTGTCCAATCCAAATGTTTGTGAGCACATGATGAAAAATATCCGAGCACCCTGTGAGTATCCAACGTAGATTAACTCTGAAGATTCCGTCTCGTTTAGCATGTAGTTAATAATAACTGGAACGTCTAATATTCTCATTTCGTGCGAGGTAAAATTCCAAAATTGTGAGTCTGCATCTGGATTGAGACGAACATTTCTCCTTCCATAATACGTACCACGCACATTCCCAACCCACAGATCATAACATGCGTCTGATATAAGGACCGCGAAAAACGCGAGGCCTGCTGATGGACCGGCATCTAACCAAGAATCTGAACTCATTAGCAGCCCGTGCATAAGCAACACTGGAGGTTGCCTTACCCTTCCTCTACAGTTTTTGCCCTTCGGTATCCGGAACACCGACAGGATGTACCCATCTTCTGTTATTACAGTATGTTCTTCAGCTGCATATCCATAATTTCTCGCAAATTCAGTAAAATTTGAAAGTGAATCTCGTGCGTAATCTTGTGATGTTGCGTCTTCATCGATTCCAAAGTCTCAGTTCTGCCCAAATGTATTTTTGAATATAGCGAAGAATAAAAGCACTAGAAATAAAACGTCACCGCTTTTAGAAGTAATTTCATTAATTAACTTCACTTTTACTGACATTACATTTAAAACATGGATCCGTTATCTCAATTTCTTATCATTACGTTTATTTAAATAGCTTTATGTGGGTTGAGGCAATCGTGCTAGTTTTTCTACTTTCAAGGCCCTTATTTTACTAGCAGTTCAAAAAGATAAAAATAAATAGCGTTTCAAAAATAAAAGACTGTTTTAATTTTTGACTGGCAGCGTAAGAATATCCATTACCCCATACCGACCGGTGGGTGTCGTAAAAGGCAACAGAGGGAAATAAAATAGCAGCATCTTCTTAAAGTAAAGTAAAGTAAAGTAAAGTTACAACATATATACGTCCCACTGCTGGGCACGGACCTCCCCTCATTACTGAGGGGGTTTTAGGGAAAGGAAGTGTCCGCCGCGTTGCCCCAATGCGTGTTGGCGAACTTCACATATATCTTCGAAATATTTTTTTCTTATTCCTCAGACATGCAGGTTTTCTCACGATGTTTTCCTTCACCGCCGAGCACATGGTAAATCAGCACTTAAAATTGCAATTAACGATTTCATTGGTGCCGGTGGGGATCGAACCCGGGTTACTCGCGTTCTGTTATATTTACAGCTAGCGTTAACTATCTGAGCTACCACGGCTCTGGCATCTTCTTAATAACAACTAAACATAAATATGGCTATGGTTGAAAACCCGTCTGTTAAGTGTAACAACTATGTAATTACTCTACTAGTAGTCTGTCCTACGGGGAGGTCTATTTTCAGCATTTCCATATTGATAGGCTGTAACGTAAAACGTAATTAATAAAAAGTATAATAAGTAAAGTATATATATATATATATATATATATATATATATATATATATATATATATATATATATATATATATATACATATTTATACCAAATTACTTACCTTAACAGTTACTTACAATGATTTTGCATTTATTTTGAATTCTGTCAAAATGCTTTTTGATTTTTTTTATAAATATGTTTATACATATCAAGCCATTTTTTTAGTGCTTGCTGCCGATTTCACCTAATTATTGAGATTATTTGATTAGCCATTAATGTTCTATTAATGAAATCACCTCGTGGTCTACATATCGGTTTATCAGAAAAAGTTCACAAGATGGATAAGACATACCCTCGGGCGGGTAAGGTGATGCTGTGGCCCATAAATATCTACATCTATCCTCGATTAAGAATCAAAATGCAGATGCGTTGTCACCCCTGAGGACTATGATATGAGTTCGGCGCAGGTCGCCATCGTATTCACACGTTTCTACGCGAATCCTCTTGCGAAACCAGTAACCAAGACCCCTGTCTTACGGCGCTTAACACAGACCTCCGTGTCTACGGTCGCTAGACGCTTCCATACCGGAAAACCAACCGTCAAGACCCCTGGCGTATGGCGCTCAACCCGGGCGCTCAGTGTCTCGTATGTCTGGTTATTTCCGAACAAAAGCAGTGACCACTCGGTTACTCGGTTACTCCGTGTCGCACGGACGATACTACGCTTAAGTGTAAGTGAAACAGTGATTGTGTGGTGCATAAGTGACTAGACAATTATTGAACAGAGCGCTTGCGCATTTGTAAATAAAAATATCGTTTTGCATTTCTATTATATCGACTTATTTATAAACTGATACAACATGATTCGATCACCAAATGGCAATGAATCAAAATACAACTCATAACCAGACTTGTCCAGAAGGACGGAAGAAGAAAGTAATGTTAGTATCCGTAAAAGAAAAAAATGGACCACGACTGTGACTGCAAAGCTGAGATACAAGGACTACGCAGTGAGGTATCGCGTATGAATAATCTATTAGAAAATTTCGTTATATCACAGGAGAAATTAATGACCGATATGCGTGAAAATATAAAAACATTGAACGAAGAGATCAAAGATATCAAATCCTCGACTTCGGGGATAGTAAAAGACCAGGACAACATCAAAGGATGTATAACAGATTTAAATAGCAAATTTTCTACGCACGAAGACAGGCTCACTTGTCTTGAAGGTAGTCTCAAGACATCTACCACTACTACCATTGATTCATCAGAGCCGAATCGCTTGAGGAAATATGAAGAAATAATTCAGGAAATTAAAGAGAGAAAAAAATATTATTATAGTTGGCATATCAGAACAGACTGCTACCAGTACTGAGGAGAGGGTTGCAAAAGACGAAGCTGAGGTTTTAAACATAACAGCCGTGGTAAGCAAAGACATTCCCAAGCCGATTAAAATTTTTCGTATTGGCAAATACAAACCTGAAAAGACTCGTAGAATTAAAGTCTGTTTTGACAAACCAGAGCCTGCAATGGTACTACTACGTAACAAAGCCAAATTACCATCTAACATCAAAATTTTCTCTGACCAAACTCCTGCTCAACAAAAGCACTTTCTAACCATAAAGAATGAACTTACAAGACGCAAAAATAACGGAGAAGATGATATTACGATAAGATACATAAATGGCATACCAAACATCGTTAAATCTGTCTCAAAAAACTCCAACGGCCAATAAGGCATACAAAGAATTCTGATATATTATATCAAATTGTAAGTGACTACAGACTCATACAGACAAGAAAATCAGGTGTTTCATTTCTCTACCTAAATGCAAGAAGTATCAGAAAAAAAGGAAAGTTAGACGAACTTAAATGTATTCTAAAATCGACACCAACACCTATACACGTAATATTAGTAACAGAAACCTGGATACGAAATGAAGAACAAGCCCGACAATTACAGATCGATAACTACACTCATTATTATAACTACAGGAACGATATCATAGGTGGAGGAGTATCAGCGTACATACACAACAACTTGAAACATCACTCTATAGAATCGACGTATCTAGAAGGAAACAACTTCTTATGGATACACCTAGAAAAATTCGGAATCAATATTGGCGTGGTATACAAACCCGGACATACCAATGTTGAAAAGTTTTTAAAAATATATGGTGCACAATTGCTACAACAAAAGAGATCGATTATATTCGGAGATTTAAACATAGACCTACTTACGAATGACAAAACTTCAACTAAGTACAAACATACAATAAGAGAATCAGGCCACAAGTTATTAAATAAAATTCACAAAAAAATATTGTACTAGAGAGTCAGAGACGAAGAAATCTATCATAGACCATGTCAGCACAAATCTTCAATGTGAACAATTCAATTTTGTTATTATTAACTCGTCCATGACAGACCACAAACAGATCTTCCTGCAATTGAATAAATATGAACCACACAAGAATTTAAGAACGACTTATGAGGCAATAGATTACAAAAGAATGTATACTGAAATGGAATCATATGAAACGGAAGCCACTGCAGACACTTACGAATATCTTGAAAATAAAATAAAGCAATGCGTAGCACGTAATCGAGTAGTGAAAACGAAAACACTGAACCCGCCTAAAAATGACTGGATCAACAGTGATATAATCACTGGGATTACCCAAAGGAACTACCTATGGTTGCAACACAAAAAAAATCAGGATGACAAGAGACTAGAACAAGAATACAAGCAAAAAGAGACACAATAGCTAAACTGATACAAAATACGAAAAATTCCTACTACTATAAACTATTTACAAAATATACTAATAATCCTAAAAAGATGTGGGCTCTTATAAATAACCTAGCAAATAACAAAACAAAACAAAGTAGTGCTCCTCCAAAGCTCTTAATAGACTCTGAACTAATTAGCGACACAGATGAAGTTTGTGATATTTTTAACAAATATTTTTCTACTATAGGTTCTCTATTAGCAAACAAAATACCTAACAGATATCACGATAGTACTTTGAATCCTGATTTCATACAACAAAAAATAAACGATCATAAACTGTCTGCCTTTACCCCATGTAATGCAAATGAAATAAATAAAATTATTCACAACCTAAATCCCAATACTAGTAGTGGAATAGACAAAATCAGCACAAAAGTCCTAAAATGTTTGCAAGATCTAATCTCTGAAGGCCTGGCACATTCAATAAACAAACTTATGACTGACGGCGAATTTCCCGATACTTTGAAGGTTGCAAAAGTAACACCAATTTACAAATCCGGGCCCACAACTGACCCAGGAAACTATCGTCCTATTTCTGTACTACCAATATTGTCAAAAATCCTAGAAAAAGTAATACATAACCGATTATCAAGTTACCTGGATTCATTTAACTTTATATCTCCACGTCAGTACGGTTTTCGGTCAAAAAGCAATACAACTGCGGCAATAGTAGATTTAACAACAAAAATTAAAGAAAACCTGGATAAGAAAAGGATTGTTCTAGGCATTTACATCGACCTGAAAAAAGCCTTTGATACCGTAAGTCACCAGTTACTTTTAAAAAAGTTAGAGCACATTGGTATCACAGGTAGTGCCCTTAAAATGTTTGAGTCGTACCTAACAAATAGAGTACAGATAGTCAAAATAGATAATAACCAAAGCAATACCCAACCCATTACATATGGTGTCCCACAAGGGTCCATATTGGGACCGCTTCTTTTCCTTATCTATGTTAACAATATAACGGATTTAAGACTACACGGCCATTTAACTTTGTACGCAGACGATACATGCCTATTCTATTTTGGTACAAATATGGACGAAATCATCTCAAAAGCTCAAGAAGACCTTAACATGTTGTTTGAATGGTTTCAGTCCAACCTGTTAACAATCAACATCTTAAAAACATGCTATATTATTACAAGTCGAAAAATAAAATAATTCCCCCGCATGCTCCTTTAACAATTGACAACATTCCACTCGAACAAAAAACTTGTGAAAAATATCTTGGTCTGAGAATGGATAGTAATTTAACATGGAACAAACAGATAGAATATATAAAAAGCAAATTATCGTCGCTAACGGGTTCACTCTGTAACATAAATCAATGTATACCTAGGAAACTACGTTTCAATATTTACAATTCACTTATCAAATCTCATATATTATATTTAATAGAAATATGGGGCAGTGCCGCCAAAACGAAATTGCAGGAACTACAAAGAGCTCAAAATAAAGCAATAAAAATACTTTTCTCCTACCCATACTTAACATCGACTCGTAAAATTTTTGATGACACAAAAATAATGAACATTCGACAACTTTATATATATAGCACTTGCATTCTAATTAGGAAGATCATGAGTAAAAACATCCAAACTAGTTTGTCCTTTACCAAAAAGTCACAAATATCCAAACGCAGTCTTCGTCGACCTAGCTTGCTCGTATTGCCAAAGACACGTACCAAATTAGGGAAAAAAAAATTACCTTTGAGGGAGCACACTTTTATAACAGCCTACCTTCTCATATTAAAAATATAGATTCCTTTAACAAGTTCAAGTCTCAATTGCACAACTACATTCTTGAAAGCTACTGACTTGTAATTTCGGAGAGTGTCACGATGGAACTGTGAATACGGTGACCGTTACCTAGATTAAGTTTATATTATTGTTCTCATGTAAGTGGATTATGTAATCTTTTTTGTGAGAATAAATTCTTTAAACCTATATATATATATATATATATATATATATATATATATATATATATATATATATATATATATATATATATATATATATATATATATATATATATATTTATACCAAATTACTTACCTTAACAGTTACTTACAATGATTTTGCATTTATTTTGAATTCTGTCAAAATGCTTTTTGATTTTTTTTATAAATATGTTTATACATATCAAGCCATTTTTTTAGTGCTTGCTGCCGATTTCACCTAATTATTGAGATTATTTGATTAGCCATTAATGTTCTATTAATGAAATCACCTCGTGGTCTACATATCGGTTTATCAGAAAAAGTTCACAAGATGGATAAGACATACCCTCGGGCGGGTAAGGGGATGCTGTGGCCCATAAATATCTACATCTATCCTCGATTAAGAATCAAAATGCAGATGCGTTGTCACCCCTGAGGACTATGATCCATCATATTGAAACGATGCATTCCAAATAACTCATCCAATGTTCTCTAAACTCACCACACGAAAACAGCAGCATTTAGCTGCTATTTAACGCTGGTATTCTGTGAGAGCATGGTCTTACCCCGGTCGAGACGAACCATTGCTACAACCTTAATATAGCTGCAACATAGCTCTACCACGTATAAATACGCCTTTATAGCTTGCCAGGAAAGTCCATGAGCCACACGCCTTAATCTTCTGTTCTGATAGCGATTATTACTAAAGGCATGATTATTTAAATATGTGCCAGTAATTATACCGACTCGGTAACCTTTTGAATCAGAATGCGAAAGTAACTTACGGCTGGTTCAAGGATGACAATAATAAAAATATTATTGTACCTATATTACTTTTTACAGTATAAACTATATAAAGGTTAGAGTTTCACCTTAATTTCGAGCGTATATTTTACCGAGTAGTAGAGTTACGTATGTTGACTGTCTCTCCTCTCCGATTTAAAAGAAAGAAAGAGACATTTCTTTGGCACATTAACTAGGTGCTAGGACTCTTCTCTGCTTACCACTCTGGGTTGAACTGCCTACTCAATTTCTCCCGCCAAACAGTAGTGCTAGTATTGTGGGTTTTGGTCTGAAGTGTATAAAAAGAAAGTACAATACGACGCATTCTTCAGGGGTTACAACGCATCTGCATTTTGATTCTCAATCGAGAATAATGTAAAATGTGTAAAAATATGGTCCACAGTACCCACTTACCATCGAGTGGACTGTGCACTAGTTAATCATTATTATTCTATAAAAAAAAGTCTGTAGGGCGTTCCATCTCAGTCCTCAGAGGTGACAACGTATCTGTAGCCTACTTTGTTTGAAGTACAGTTGTCTATGACTAAAGTAGCCAAGTAGTTCTTTTTTTGAAGACCTTTGAAAAGTAGACGTCTCGCACCATTTATGCTGCTTCCTATCACTTAGAAGGTATAATACGAACTACTAAAACGAGGTGATCTTTATGGTATGTATGCCATCCTTTCATAATGGGGTGATGGGTCTTTTACAAATTTAAATATCCCAGTCGAGTATGTGAACAAATTTTACGATTGAAACGATTGGATCGCATTTGGGTTTATCGACCCTTTGACTAGATTCTCATAAAGATTCTGTGATTTTTAAAGACTCATGAAAAAGAGAACTTTACAGC